TCCAGCCAGTTTTTAACTCAGTGAAGAGTGCACCTATGCAAGCCGTGAGCCACCAGTTTCTCTAGGAGAGCACTGTGTGAGACAGTGTCAAAGGCTTTACTGAAGTCCAGATAGATGATATCCACAGCCCTCCCCTCATCCACTAGGCAGGTCACCTGGTCATAGAAGGAGACCAGGTTGGTTAAGCAGGACCTGCCCTTCATGAACCCATGCTGGCTGGGCCTGAGTCCCTGGGTGTCCTGCACCTGCCATGTGAGGGCCCTCAAGATGAATTATTCCAGAACCTTCCCTGCACCGAGGTCAGGCTGACAGGTCTGTAGTTCCCCAGATCCTCCTTCCAGCCCTTCTTGTAGATGGGTGTGACATTGGCAAGTCTCCAGTCATCTGGGACCTCCCCTGTTGACCAGGACTTCTGATAAATGATGGATAGTGATTTGGCCAGCTCCTCCACCAGCTCCCTCAGTACTCTTGGGCAGATCCCATCTGGCCCCATAGACTAGTGGATGTCCAGGTGGCAAAGCAGGTCTTTAACTGCTTCCTCCTGAATTACAGGGGGTTTATTCTGCTCTCGGTCCCTGTCTTTCAGCTCAGGGGCCTGATTACCTTGAGGATTGCTTGTCTGACTATTAAAGACTGAGGTAGAGAAGGCATTAAGTTCCTCAGCCTTTTCTCATCTTTGGTGACAATGTTCCCCTCCACATCCAAAAGAGGATGGAGATTCTCTTTGTTTTTCTTTTTGTTGTTAATGTATTTATAGAAACATTTTTCTGTTGTCTCTCATGACAGCCTGAGTTCTAGTTGGGCTTTTGCCTCTCTAATTTTCCCTCTGCATGACCTAACAAGCTCCCTGTACTCTTCTTGAGTTACCTGCCCCTTCTTTCAAGAGTGGTAAACCCTCCTTTTTTCCCTGAGTTCCAGCAAAAGCTCCCTGTTCAACCAGGCTTGTCGTCTTTCCCACTGGTTTGTCTTACAGCACACAGGGACAGCCTGCTCCTGCGCCTCTAAGACTTCCTTCTTGAAGAATCCAGCCTTCCTGGGTGCCCTTGCCCTTCAGGACTGCCTCCCAAGGACCTCTCTTGACCAGTGTCCTGAACAGGCTAAAGTCAGCCCTCCAGGAGTCCATGGTTGAGGTTTTGCTGACTCTCCTCCTTACTTGACCAAGAATGGAGAGGTCCATCATTTCATGGTCGCTAAGCCCCAAGACAGACTCTGACCACTGTTATCTCCCACCAGTCCTTCTCTGTAAACAGTAGGTCAGTGAGGCCCCTATCCTGGTAGGCTCCCTTACTACCTTGTCAGGAAGTTATCTTCCACATGCTCCAGGAACCTCCTGGACTGTTTCCTCTCTACTGTGTTGTATTTCCAGCAGACATCTGGTAAGTCGAAGTCCCCCATGAGGGCAAGGGCTAACGATTGAGAGACTTCTGCCAGTCACTTGTTGAATGCCTCATCTGCTTCTTCATCCTGTTTGGGTAGTCTGTAACAGACTCCCAGCAGGATATCTGCCTCGTTGGCCTTACCCCTCATCCTTACTCATAAGCACTTGGCCTTGTCCTCACAATCATTGATCTCTACACAATCGAAACACTCATTAACATACAAGGCCACCCCACTGCCTCTCCTTCCTTGCCTGTCCCTTCTGAAGTGCTTATAGCCATCTATTGCAGCACTCCAGTCATGAGAGCCATACCGCCATGTTTCTGTGATGGCGACCGAGTCATAGCTATCCTGCTGCACAATGGCTTCCAGCTCCTCCTGTTCATTGCCCATGCTGCGTGCATTGGTGTAGATGCACTTGAGCTGGGCTATTGATTTCCCCCCTAACATCGACATGCCACCCTTAGGTCCATCACTGGTAGGCCCTGTTTTGTTCCCCTCCCCCTTCGAGCCTAGTTTAAAGCCTATGGCTGAATAGCTCTGGACAATTGTCTCTTTCAAATTATGTAAGCTAGTCTAATAAAAATGTTTACCTGTCTTTACAGGCTTTATATCCTTATATATAAAACTTCCATTATATCCTTAGACCAGGCAGCTTTAGAAGAAGAAAAAAAAAAAAAAAATCAAAAATACACAACAACAAAAAACTGAAACCAAATGTAACTTTTGTCCTTGCTGTTTCTAAAACTTTTCAGCCATGGGAATAAAGAAGGATTTTCCTGCCGGGGAATTCAACTAGCTGTTGATTGGTTTCTGGAAAAAGGGCATAAAGATATCACTGTGTTTGTACCTGCGTGGAGAAAAGAACAGTCTCGACCTGATGCACCAATTACAGGTAACCGATCAAGATTTTCTTTGAATCCTTCACTTAAAAGAAAAAAAAAATATTGCATCAAGACACAACCATGTTGTCTTTCTGATCCATACTACATACTGGGCTGTGGATGTGATGTTGCACTCAACTGCTCACTTGAAAACACAACACTTGCTGGTGAGGAAGGAAGCATTTAAGTATCTGCACCTGTAAACAATGAGGGGTTTTTAAACATGGCTGGATCATTTCAACACTTTTGAGAAGTAGCAGTCATAACATTTCCATTAGCAAACATGGTTAAGCGTATAGGAACTGATTCTTAGTTGCTGGGTGAATATAAAATAAGTAGTATCAGGCCAGGGGCTCATTTAGTAGGATTATCTTGAACACTGAAAAGGCAGCATGTGTTTTGACCTGTAGAAAATACTTACATTTTACTCTAGGCTAACAAGAAGTCTGTTGTAATACAGCAACAACTGAGTTCTTGACAGGTTCAGGAAGAGTGAGTAAAGGTACATGGTTGTTTACAGAAGAGTAGAGTGGTTATGAAGCTTAAATATTTAATATTTACCCAGTGCTTTGAAACCTCAGAAATAAAACAGCACTCTGCATCTAGGTATTTTTTAATGGTAATGGGGACTGTATATGAACATAATTATGAAATACTTTGTCAGAAAAGAAGGCAAGAAGCTTCGTATTTCAAAGGCTGTGTTTCTCTTTTAAAACTTTTTTAAAAGCTGCTCAACTAAAACTATTTTACAGATCAAGAAATCTTACGTAAATTGGAGAAAGAAAAAATTCTTGTTTTCACCCCATCTCGAAGAGTTCAGGGAAGAAGAGTAGTTTGCTATGATGATCGATTCATAGTAAAACTTGCTTTCGACTCGGATGGCATCATTGTATCAAATGACAACTATCGGGATCTTCAAAATGAAAAACCGGAGTGGAAGAAGTTCATAGAGGAGCGGCTGCTAATGTATTCTTTTGTGAATGACAAGTAGGCTTTTTTTCCTTCAAAATTAAGGGAAATTTGCTAATTCAGAATCCTTGGTAAAAACCGAAATTTACATTTCATTTCTTTCCCCTTAGATTTATGCCTCCTGATGATCCCTTAGGACGCCACGGTCCAAGCCTTGAAAATTTCTTAAGGAAAAGGCCAGTTATTCCTGAACATAAGAAACAACCGTGTCCTTATGGTAAGTGTCTAAGTCAGATTGACCTGTTGTATTCAAAGGTAGGTGAAGCAAGCACAAACACTACTGAAAAAAAGCCAAAGCCATTTTTTTGTGTTGCCATCCAAGTGCTATATCCATTTTTATACCCTTCATATGTATATTAATAAAAGCGATGTAGCAGAAAATTAAGGATTACCAGATACACCTTGTGGATAACACAGCTTTTTGCTATTTTCCTCTGGTTTGTATTCAAGGAAGGAGATTCATAACTATAAAAACTGTGTTAGAGCTGGTTTGTTTTATGTAGTATTGAGTATGTTGTCAGTATCGAAATCATGAGCCAGTAGGAAGGGAAGTGATGTGGCTTGCCCTTGATACAGGGAGATACGTTGATACAGGTAGCAGAGTCTGCGACTGCCTGTATGTACAAAAGATGTAATTATTCCTTAGGAGGGCAATATAGAAATAAGTCTATTGAGAAGTGGTGAAAGATATAAAGAAAAAAGATAGCAACTGGTGGTATTGATTAGTTTTTGGTTTATTTAACCCGAAAACACTTTTCTTCCAGGTAAAAAGTGCACCTATGGGCACAAATGTAAATATTACCACCCAGAACGGGCAAACCAGCCTCAAAGGTCAGTAGCGGATGAGCTTCGAATAAGTGCCAAATTATCTGCTGTGAAAACTATGAGTGAGGGAGCCTTGGCCAAATGTGGCACAGGGCCATCCAGCTCCAAAGGAGAAATCAGTTCTGAAGTGAAACGCATTGCCCCAAAACGCCAGTCAGATCCAAGCATTAGATCAGTAGCTGTGGAGCCTGAGGAAAAGTTATCAGTAGCCCGGAAGTCTGAGGCCAGCTCTGTCCCGTCTCTGGTTTCTGCATTAAGTGTACCAACGCTCCCTCCACCAAAATGCCATGCAGCTGGTGCATTAAATACTCGTTCTGCAAGCAGTCCGGTGCCAGGTTCCTCACAGTTCATGCATCAGAAATCCTCACTGGAACATATGTCCAGTGTGCAGTATCCTCCTATACTAGTCACCAATAGCCACGGCACCTCAGTTAGCTATACCGACCAGTATCCCAAATACGAATCACTGGGGGACCATGGCTATTACTCCTTACTCAGTGATTTCTCCAATTTGAGCATAAGTAGTATCCGTAACACAGATTATTACGGGGCTGATACAGACCAGGGGATGTATTCTAGAAACTCAAGCCCCTGTCCTGACAGTTGCTTAAGCCATACGAGTAATGATTCTTATTCCTCTTACAATGACTTGTATCTGGGTGTAGCAGATGCCAGTCCAGAAGACAATGTGAAGATCCACAGACTGCCATCACAAAATCGTCTCCAGCCTTTTTCCCATGGTTACCATGAAGCCTTAAATAGAGTCCAGAGTTACGGAACTGAAGAGCCTAAGCAATCCCTTCGCAAACAGTCAGTTTCCCACTTAGGCCTACATGTCCAGCATCCAGTTGTTGGAGCGCGGTCCAGTTGTCCAGGAGAATACCCTGTGCCTCAAAATGTTCATCCATCAACTGCACAGCCAAGCCGTGCCTTGGTCATGACAAGAATGGACAGTATTTCTGACTCACGGCTTTATGAAAGTAACCCTACAAGGCAGAGAAGACCGCCTCTCTGTCGAGAGCAGCATGCTAGCTGGGATCCATTACCATGTGCATCGGACTCTTACACCTACCACTCGTATCCATTGAGTAACAACCTCATGCAGCCATGTTATGAGCCTGTAATGGTAAGAAGCATGCCCGAGAAGATGGAGCAACTCTGGAGGAATCCCTGGATTGGGATATGTGGTGAGCCACGGGAACCTCACATCATCCCAGAACATCAGTATCAAACATACAAGAACCTCTGCAATATTTTCCCTCCCAGCATTGTCCTTTCTGTGATGGAAAAAAATCCCCACATGACAGATGCACAGCAGCTGGCAGCTATGATTGTGGCCAAATTAAGAACAGGGCGTTAAAGCATTACAGCCTCTTTTGGATAAATGACTCTATATAGCATAGGGGGCCTGGAGGAGAACTTAGATGAGGAAGGAAGGGGCCAATCAATTGTAAATATTTTCTACTAAAACAGTATAACGTTCTGCACACCGTAGCAATCATATATATGCTGAGGCACTATATAAGAGTCGATTGTATTGTAAATTTTAAGATTTTAAATATAGGGATTTTTAATAGTATTTTATAGGAAATGCATACCTTGCTGCATGGATAGCTCATTAAGAACTACAATGTTACGCTCGGTGTCTCAAAGCTGTTACTAAAAAATTATTGTTAGCAATTATATTGCATGTATTAGTGTACACTTTCAATTTGCTTACAAATACCTAATTGGCCTTTAAGCATATGCTCTATACACACCCAGATGACTTTTTGGGTTTCAGCTTTGTCATTTGACACTGCCTACTGGCATATTAAATATTGAGGAAGAAGTAAACTTGACAAAAATTAAAATACTCAATTTGTAAAAGGAAAAAAAGATTTCAGCTTTTGAATGCCAATATTGTTGTTGGTACTTAAATTTCAAAACTGCTCCCCAAGCGTTTGAGTATTTATGACGTTGTCCAGTACATTGGCTCGATCCAACAGAAGCCAAGCACGTTATTAAATCAGGACCAAACCATTAAGGAGCGTGAAGACATGAGCGCCGTTCGGTAAGCTAAAAGAGGTTTAACTGTAGCATCTCTCTTCAGAATCGCCGCTCAACTGTGCAGTGAGCAGCTGCTGGCCCAGATGACTAGACAAGCTGAAAGTAAATTGTCAGTTTTATGTAAATCGGATTACTCAACCTGAAGCAGCGGAAACGGGATGTTAACATGGAAGTTCATCAGTAACTGCAGCCCTTCCTCTGGGGGCAAGGATGGTGTTTGAGTGAGACTAACATTCGGGGTGGCTGGAGGGGAAAGGCTGCTTCTTGAAAAGAGATGCTACAGTTTGGGTTCGTGGCAAAGCTGGCCTGGTGTTTTTACTCTTCAGATCCACGCAAAGGTGTGCATTTGCCTCGTGAAGGCTTTTAGCGTGCCTGTTTCAACAGGTGAGATAATTTTGTGTGGCATTGTTTGCGCAACTGGTATCTTGCTCAGGGTGGGAACCTTTGTAGCTAAATGTCTCCAAAAGAGGCGTTTATTGTTTTTTAAGCTGCACTGACTGGACGCCCTTTTTTGAATCCACTGTATATTTCAACATTTCGAACCATTACTAACTCGATATGTCTCGAGCTAGGACTTGTTGACTTCTACTGTAGTTTTTTCATGAAAGTTGAGAAGGCCTGGTTTACGGCCTTTTGTTTCTTCATGAGAAGGTGTGACACTGCCTAAATGTTTCTTACTGTGAAACACACGGAACGTGAGGCTGCAGTCAGGGTTGTTTCTGGTGTTTTGATAATGGCTTGCATGCTGCTTTCTAATTATCTGTTTGTCTGAGGAACGAGGTTATATCATTTCTTCCACTTGTGTTACTGTAGTGGTTAGTTTGATTCAAAGTATCTTGTGGGTTCTTTACCATGTGCAAAATATGTTCCTGCCATAAAACCAAAACCAAACAACCCCAAACCACAATTACAGGTGCAACTGCAGTTAATTTACTGGTATTCGAGAACCAGATCATTTCACACAGGATAAATACTCTTTTGTTGGTGCAGGTAACATATATAATGACCATGTCATCATGTATTTAAAATGAGATAATGTGAAGGTGAGTCTGTATTTACACTTTGTGTTTAAAAAATAACGTAAGTTTTAATTAGTTGGTTTTCATCATCTCTTTTAATGGGAAAAAAAAGAAATCTTCAGACATTTGTAACAGTTGGGGAAAACAGATTTAACTCTTGACCAGTTTTCAAAAACATTTCTTACTAACCAGCATTTTATATTTTTAATTTGCAATTAATTCTTATTCTCTTCTCTTGCATGGTATAAGCAGCTGAGAGCAATGCCTCAAATAACCAGAAATGACCTTTTGTTTGTTGATACAAATTGTATCTCTTTTTCTTGATTGTATAAAAACTGTGTATAAAAAAGATAATCTCTAGATTAACTTCAGTATTACATTTTCACCACAATGTTTGTGACACCGTGTGTCACAGGGAAGTAGCCCATGAGTAATTATGGATCTTTTTTATTTCAAATGGGCACTTGTAGTTTATAGACAAACAAGGACAACTTTTCAGAACCAGTTTATTACGTGCACAGATGCTGTGTGTACACCTCGAAGCATTATATACTTACCTTTAGTCTATTTATTAAGCAGATACATTCTTGCACTAAACTTTATGTAAAAACGTTGCCGTTAACTCATCTGCATGTGTTTAAAGTGTAACAATATAATTGCTATAGGCCCTGCTTTATTCCTAACAGATTAATTTATAAATTATTTAGGTATAAAATGAAGTTTATTGTGCACTCACATTTTCCATCTTGCATGGAATTAAATATTTGTATGTAGAAAAATGTTTGTTCTCTTTTTCTCCAGTCATGAAGATAAGCAATAGCTAAGAGAGGTTTAGTAGGTGCTTTGGATGTTTTCTAACACGGAAAAGCAAGCAGAAGTTTCTGTAGGAAGTGTTGGGTGGTTTACGGAGCTACTAGTTTTTGTAGGATTTGTCTAGTCACTTTAATTTTCACTAACTTTTGTCTTACCAATAGAATAATTCCTTTCTAAACAAGGGGAACGCTGTGCCAATACGCACCCAGCATACTATTTCCCTGAGGCACCTGGGAGGCAAATGGCCTTTTTCTACGACGCGATTCGCATCGATCGTGCGTAGTTAAGAGAATGGGCGCGGGAGCCTCGTGGAAATAATTTGCAGCTTTTGTGCTTGTTTAGTCCTCCTTGGAGGTCACGGAACTTTTGTATGTGATGTAGTCTTTCCTAATCAGCTCCGCTGAGTGGTAATTCAGTCGTCCACATCTGTTCTCAGATACGTTTACAAGCCAGTCCGAAACACTGACACATTCGTTAATCTTCAGCGCATAAGCTTAGATTTCTTCTGACATGGAAGAGTTGATCTTACTAACACCTGATCATAACTGTTTATATTGTAAATATAAGACTTCGTATAAATGCTCTTTTTGAGAGCATGGTATTTAAATGTTTTTTAAACTGTAAGAGAACAGTTCTAGAAACTATATTTTAATAATATCCACAAAATTACAATTCTAGATGAGGAGGAAAAAAAAAAGAAGTGGGAAGGTAAAATCCTGGCCTAGTGCAATCAGCAGGAGGTGAACAGTGGACTGTAGTGCTGTACTGGGGCCAGGGCATTCTCTGGGAGCTCAGATTTACTGATCTTTCATCTTTAGCTATATTACTTTCACAGCCTGTCACTTAAAGGGGTAAAACCTTAAATTCATGAATCAAAAATCAGATGCTTTGTGGGATGTCAGTCTGAGTTATTTAATGTTTTTTGTAAGAATTAAATGTCAGTGATATATTAAATTGTACGTACAGATGATTTCACTACTGTTAGTCCTGTTGTTGTCGTATTGAGCTGCAGTAGTTGGCTTTATTCATTTGTAGAATTAAACATTACTGTTTAATTGTTGTAAAATTTTATAAATCTCTTTGGGTTTTTTTGGTTGACCCAAATATAATGTAAGTCTTAATGACAAAATAAGTGAAAATGGATGTTAAACCAGTACGTGGTATTCGTAAATCTCTGTAGTGATCTAAGCGTGCACTGCGCTAGTTGCTGCTGCATGTACTTCACTCACTAGCATGAGCCTGTTCAGCTCTTGTAAAAATGCTTTACCTGTAAACTTGAAAACAGAAGGTGTGGGTAGGGTTGCTTAGAACAAGCAGAAGGATCCTCATTAAAAAAACCCACCCAAACCATCTATCTAGGTGAGTTCCCCTACATACTTCTAATGCCAGTTTGCCTCAAATAGTGCGTTTTGGCATTTTGAGATTCTTAATGATGAAGTCAGAACAGGGAAAGAACCTGCCCAAATAATTCAGTTAGAAAATGCTTGGTGACATGCAGGCTTACCTGTGATGTGTACCAAACCACAGGCAGGAACGCTTCAAGGGACGTGCTTGGACTATAGTGACTTTTAAAACTCCGTGCCGAAGAAAAGGAACGTGCATCATTTCTGTGAGGCTGTGCTCCACAGAGTTGAGCTGTTACTTTATCCTGACTTGCCAGAAGTTTACCCGAAGCACAAGTACTGCAGGACTCACAAGACTCAGATCATTAGATCTGTCACTATTATTTCTTTCTGTGGTTGGCGAGTGTTCAGTTTTAATGCTCCTCTCACGTACCCATAGCTTGTCTGTGTGACAGAGCCCTACTTAACTGTATATCTTGCAATATTTCAACTGGAAAAATAGAAGTGCACCATGACTTAACCTCTTCTCATGCCAGTGTTTGGTTAGCCTTTGAAGAGCCATTTTATACAGTAGCTATGATTTTGGTCAGTGGTATTTAAAGTTTGTACATGTATTAAAAGAACTGAGAGAAGAATGTAAGAGAGATACAGGCTATTGTTACCTGTTCCCCTCCCGCTCTGTGTAAAAGGTTTGCACAATTATTTAATAATATGAAATATGTTATACTTTATATATAAAAATTTGCTTATTTAATAAAACTGAGAGCCATTGGATCATTTGTTTCTAGCTTTTTAATTTGTAACCCTCTTCAGGCAACAGCCCCGAAAAGCTGTTTTGTCCAAAACAACTGTTGTAATCTGTCCAAATTATTTCTCAATATTTTTAGCTAATTTACTGAAAAATACCCAGATTCTGAAATCATACATAATGCTCAGACTTTCCACCTGTGCTTAAATCTGTGCAGGAACAGAACAGGACTTTCACTTTTCTATAAAAAGCAGAGGACTTGGGTCTTGCTGTCTTTGTCAATCTCCGTATTACACACATTTTCTTCTGCTATTTAAACATTTAATCATTTCCCTTACTATGGGAGAGGTGATACAATGTCATTTATTAGCACTGCTTTGATTCAAAC